TCTCAGACAACGGCCTGATAATAAAAGGGAACAAAAGAAACATGATGAATGAGAGTGGAGCTCCAAAGAGGAAACAAAACACAGTTGCAAACAAAGATAGTGAAATAATAGGGATCCTTTAAACCAGTTGGCGCTTTCCTGCAGAACCTAAGACACAAAATTCACATAGGCCAAAAATGCTGATTGTTAAACATGTATGTGTATCTAAACAAGGTGTACCTTAGAGTCAGGAAAAGGGTAAGGACTGGAGGATTTGCTGACTCAATGGAACATCAATTGGGTCAATTCAATATGAGGCTTCAATGCTCATAAAACTTCAAAGACTTATTTAAATAGTAAGTCCTAGCATGTATTTCAAATTAAAAATAATCTTGGATAGAAGCATCTCCCTGTTCTTAGATTTTGCAAAATAAAATTTGCCATCTAGCAGTAGAACACAAAATAGCAAGCAGAAAAGCTCAACAGGTGAATCTGTGTTTTTTGGCATCAGTTTAGATAAAATAGAAATAATAAAAAGTATCAAGGCAAGTAACAAGGCCAAAGCTGTGCATCTTTCAGTGCAAATAGATGCAAGTGATTTTGTTTCCTTTTACAAAAACACTGACAATTTAGAAACCTCTTGAGCTTTCTCTTTCTCCATTGTAATAAAAGGCTTAAGAAACAACAGCAAAAATCCCATTTTACCATATATGCACTGCTGAGTTTAAACATGGCTTGATTAAAAAACGAAAATTACTGCATTTCTGATGTATCATTGGGCCAGCGTGAAGGCGCTCATTCCCACAGTGCTCCAAAGATGTGTTGCCTAAAACCCCTAGGGAAGCATCTCACACACTCCAGCAGGCCTGCAGGATTTCAGCTGTGCTGCCACTTTACCACTTTACCACATTGTTGCTCCCAAATCCTCTTCTTGTGAGTGAGTTAACATATATGATGCTGTTCCTTTCTGAGTCTGCCCTGAGCACAGCCCTTCTTCCCCAAGAGACCCAGGAGCATCAAACCTGTGAGATCGTATGGCATTTCAACAGCAGGGGGATGGATAATTCCTGCACTGTTCCTGTGAATCCCCACCTGCCCACCTCAAACACGGATCAGCAGTTAAGAGCACAAGACAAATGAAGGGAATTCTGAAGAGTGGAGTGTTACTTAGCCTCTCAGAGAGAAAGGTCTGCTGGGGCAGGGTCAGCAAGTGGCTGGTCTGGCACAGAGATGCAGTCAATGCTGGTGTGCCAATGTTGGCCCTTATTGATCAATATATGAACTCACACATAACTATGCACACGTGTGCTTACATGTGACTTTTACATACTTGTGTAAGAAGTAAATTAAGTTGATACAAACCTGGAAAAAAAAAGTAACTCTAGCCCCTCCAGTCTGGCAGGGGGGCTGTAAAAATATGACCTCTTTGTCAGTGGAGAATAACTGCAGATATAAGTTCTAGTTATTTGGGGGTTGGGTTTTATTCTTTTTTTTTCTCTTTTTTTTAGCTATGGGAGGACTATCTAGAGGCTTCTCAGCACAGATCTCCCCCTCTCCTTTTCCTAAAGAAATAATTCACACAAAGGGTTCCACTCACAAGACACAGAGTAAAGTTACCTTCCTAAGTGAGAATTGCGATCAACATATGCTAGAAAACCTTTCAGGACCATGTGTAAAAATAGCTGAAGCTGTATTGTTTGTCTTAGCACTCTGAGCTATTCCCAAGCTGAGACCAGATCTTTGTGTTTGCTCAGGCATAAGGGGAAGTGTTAATGTTTACTGAGTCGGAACATTGTTTCTTAAAGAGTTTAATTAAATTTATCGTTCTTGGCCCACGGTGTCTCAAGACACGCCACAGAACACACCGAGCCACCAGAAAAATGCAGATAAGCACAACTCCATTTTCTGTGTTTTTCAAGTAACAAACTGTGACGGGGGGGAAGCATCAGTTTGAAAATGACCCTATTCTATTAACAGTTTTTCTCACCAAATTCTCACTGTAGAAGAAGAATGTGGAAGTGGAAATAATTAAATTGCACATTGAAAGAGATATATTTCATGTGAATTAAAGATGCTTATCTTCATTAAAATAACCAGGAAGGGAACTGCTGGGCTTCATTCAGTTAAGAAAGACTTGGTATTCATGTTTATTTTCCATTTAGTAATTAGAACCCCTGGGATATGAAAACTTAGCTGAAACTGTTCATCTTGAAATTTTCACTAGGAATCCAGCCCAGTTTGCAATAATTAAAGGTTATTATCTGATGGGGAGAAGTGGAGAAAGTAGTATCTTGTTTTTTCCTCCAATTTTTAAATTACTTTGATTAGAATGTAAGAACAGTAACTCCTACATGGGAAGGGTGCTTGTCCAGTTTAGTCTCTGACACTGGATGCTGAGAAGGCTCGGATGTATCTTCCTTATCTATGTCTGATAGTTTTTAAAACTCTTCTATGGTTTTGGTCTCTATGGCACCCTGTGGCAATAAGTTTCTAAATTTAATTACATATTATATGAAAAAGCATCTTCTGATACTTTAAGCCCATGATGTGGCAATTTAGGGAATGCTTCTAAATCATAGATCATGATAAATAGCTGCTTACATTCTCTATATCATGAATGATTTACAGATATCCAATAAAATTCTTTTAGTCACCTTTTTTCCTCTGCTGAAGAATTCAGTAATACTTCCTCGCCTTGCCTAGGTGCTGTTTCCAGTCTCTGATCCTAATTGTGGCCTGTCTGTATCTTTTCTAGTTATACTGTATCAGTGGAGCAAAAGTCCATGCAATACTCAAGGTACAATTTCACCAGTGGCTCACAGGGTGGTATGATCATGGTTTCTGTTTCATTTTGATACCTGCACTTAATGAGTTTCTCATACCTAAACAACATTCAGTACATTCACTACAAGCCATGCTTACTCCCTCATATGTAAAACCTTCACCTTAATTTTTTTATAACCCATGTAATTTATTTTTGACTAATTTCACCATTAGTTTTCACCACTTAGACTAATTTCACCATGAGCAGCACCCTTCTTGAACTCAGGATGTTGACACCTTTCCTATTTTTGTAGGGATACTGCATTTGAATACCTTAGAGTCATGGATACAAAACTATTCCTCCACAGTCATATGTGGAAATACTTCCTTCAGACTGCTCAGGATTCTAGAACAACTTTTCTCCTGGTGGATCATGTTACTAGTTGGACCAAGAACTGAAACAATCTCAAACTGTTGTTTCTGAATAATAGCGTGCTCTGAACTCTTCCTAATCCCCCTGCAGACAGCTGAAGTCTGCCTTTGCACTTATCTGACCCTTGCAGCCTTTAATCTGAGGGCGTTTTGCAGCCGTTGTCACTGCCTGAGTGAGTCACTAGAAGCACAGCCTCGATCATCAGGTGGGTTTATCAGGCTTAACTTTACCCACTGAACAGGTAAGCATTTTATCAGAGCTTGTCAGGCAGACTTCCACACTTGTCATCAACAGAAAAGGACGGGCATGTGCAGAGCTTTGCTAGTTCCCCCTGCTTTGTGTCCTGCCTTGGGATGGGGTGTGCTGTCCTCTAGATAGGCCAGGCTGACTTCCAAGTCCAGGAAAACTGGTTTTTAACTCTTGGCTAGGAAATTTCAACCCAAATTTATTTTACAGCACATATTCGTTCTGTTACCGTTGTGAAACTCCACTTTCTTTTAACAAACACTACTGCTCCTCTAATGGTGTAGTCTTCTCTGTTATTCAGATATGTTTGAACTCCACTGTATTACAGTATCACACTGATTACCTTCTAGCCTACTTACGAGGCATCTACAAGATGTTTGGATTTTGTCATCTTGTCTCAGGCATGCAGAGTGTTTTCAGTTTTGCCCTTTCGATAATGAGTCACTCCAACTGGCATGCTCTCCTGCATCTGTCACCTTGTCCTCAATCCTCCATTTTAAAGCACTCCTACAGTCTCTTTTTTTTTCTTCTTCTTCTTTTTTTTTTTAAATCCTGAATGCTAGCAGACCCCTTCCCCTCTACATTGAAAGCTAGGGTTTTCAGACATTCTACATTTGTCTATATTATATTTACTGGAATTCTGGTTTATGGAAACACAGACTCTTAATCACAATACTTGAGATGTCTGGGAAATTGAAATCTTAACTGATAAACAGGAATGTGTGTGGGACACTGAATCACAGCAGTCCAGTTCAACAGGAGAGCAGAGAGCTGTGGTAAGTCTGTCCATCTTGCTGACAGACTTCATTGATACAGAAGAGTTTGGTTAGAAGGAACTACAAGACCAGTTTGTGCATAATTTATTAAAAATGGAGATGTGTGTTTTAAAATAAACAAACAAAATTCAAGTATTTCTCAGCCTGTACACAGTTATTTAACAGAAATAAAGATGCACATTTGCACACACAGAGACGAACCTTTTGAAATAAATTATTTATTGAAAATTATATCCTTCATAGGAATCTCATGCCCATGTAAAGCCCATAAAAATGACAGAGTCTAGCATTGCTCATGCCTCTGCTCCTTCTCCACTGTCAGCCTTGCATACATACCTAAGGGTGTGCTGGGGAGGCTAAGGCTGATGCCATTCATAAATCCAAGCTTTTGCAAAGTATTCACAATGCTTCCTCTCATTCCACTACACCAAGGGCATTTTGAATGCAAGGAAGGATTAAGCCTGGTCAAGCCAGTACTTTCGAGAGACATTACCTCTCATCTCACCTCTGACCCACCACCCCCTCCCCACCCCCTCAAAAAATTGAATTCTCCAGGAGATTAAACATATTAGCATTTATGACTAAGAGCAAGCAACTGAAAACTCCATGTGGAATTTCCTATACGTGTTGTGTATGCAGAAGCCCTTGGGTATTTTACACAGAAATGTTGATTATAATTATAGTACTAGAACATCTCTACTGTCAAAGCGTCTGCCTTGCACCTGCTCTCCTACCATGGAAAGTGAGCAATAAAAGAGAACAGAAGCTGCAGCAGGAATGAGAAGAAAAACAGTAACCTCTTCAGAAAAATACCATCAGTTTTTCTTCAATCAGTTTGTTTTTTTCTTGGCTTCAATGTGAGAAAAAACAAGCATGGCTCTTCTCCTGTTTCTTTGCTCATGATATAAGCAAATTCATGAAGGGCATCTCAGATCCACAGTTCTTTGAAGAACTGCAATGAAAGGATGGATCCTCAGAAGCTAATATTTTCTCTTTGTCTGGTTGAGCACACACAGGTCTTGCAGTGTCAAGACAGGCTTTCTTTCCCTTCCTCTGAATGGACCGTGTTTATTGGCACTGTGACATCAGCTGAGAATCGATATCACTCCCTTGCAGTTCAAAGTAAAGTCACTGCAGGTTTCAGAGGGAGGCAGGGCAGGATTTAAAACTATATTTCCTTTAGAGGCCACTGAGTCCCTTCTAGATTTCCAGTGTGCTGCCAGTCAACATGAGGGTTTTGTTCTGATAAAAGCAAAAAATGTATCAGTAAATGAAGCCCTCAGCTATTAGACCTCAGCCCTCAGTTAGTACATAGCCCTGGTTTTCATATATAATGAAAATTATATATGAATACATATATTAATTTATATACTAATATATGTACAAATTCAAAGAAAAATACTTTATCTGAACAAGGTGCTCAACAATGTATATATATAAAAGTTGCTTTAACAGAACATTCACTTAATATTCGTGAAAATGATGCCTAGCACTCCATATTCATGTCATCTGAATCCTTTCTATGTAAGTCAGTAAATAAATACTCAAACCCACCATTAAATATACATGCTTCAATGCATTTAAAATATTCATTTTAGACTGAAAGGCACTTGGTGCATGTGTCAAACAATTTTTTATTTTGGAGTATTTTCCAAATGTTAATGTCATAAACAATATGAAAAATCTCTTGCAGTGCTGAGATAATGAATACCCAAGGTAATAATTTCCATTATTAGCTTTGCATTTCAGCTGGAAAACACTCTTAAAATTCTTTATGTTTTACATTTCTTCTTATAGCAGTATCATTTACAAAAAATACATATTTTTCAAAATTTGTACTTAGGAAGATACATCTGACAAGATTTAGATTTGCTATTTGTCACTTTGCAACTAGGTCATATATATTCAGGTAAAAATTATTTTAATATTTATTTCATATATATATATATATATATATATATTTCCATATATATATATTTCCATATATATATCATGGTATATAGATATAAGTATATATATTCTGGTATGGTAGTGATATCTACATTCTTCCATATAATACATGTTTTATATAAAATATATTTTCTCAGTATGAATATAAATATAGCTAGAGGTAGAGATAAATATAAATTCTGTGAAGGTAAGAAAATACAAACAGCAAGAATTTACAATGCCTATTATAGCCACAAAGTATTTCAGTAACAACAATAAAAATTGTATGATATGGACAGTTATTTTGGAGAAAGAACCAGCTGAAGAATATGGGAGGTAAATGTAATGGAAAAATTTCAGACTTTTTTTTTTTTACTCATGCTGCAGTAATGCCTGGAGGCAAGAGAGATACTTGGCTGACGAACAAAATGCTAATTATTCAGAGTCTTCTGTTTTACAGAGTAAAGCCACATCAGTAACTCGGAAAGTGGGATCTGTGGAATTCTTAAAGTGTACTAATAAAAAAAAATCTGTCAGGAGAAAGATAAGACAGGAAAAATTTTTAATAATATGATATCACACTTATTTGCCATCCTGTCTTTCATATTGTGAATTTCATATTGTCAGTGCAGGAATGCAATGTGTGATAATGAGACTGTGGCTGTAGGTTAAAGAGGAAAGAAATCAATAAAATGTTAAGCAGAGGAAGGTGATTCCAATATTGAGGATGCAGCTTTAAAAACGTGATAGTGTTCAAGTTCTTTAAAAATGACAAATTCATTCCTATCAGATGAAATTTGCTATCATCTACTTTGAAATTTTTACCTGTGTACCATACCTGTATCTGAGCATCCATATCAAACCCAAACATTGTACCTCACAGTTTCCCCCTCAATATAAAATATATTGAATATTTTGATATATTTTGATAGTGCATCATATCTTGAATATTAAGTTTGGGTATGTAAAGACATGCACAAAAGATTTTGAGGGAAGTTAAAAAAGGGAGGATCTTAGGCAGAATCTCCAGATGGAATATACCAGAGGTGTATCTGTCTCACACTCCCGGACAACCATGTGTCAAAACAACATTTTTAGGACCAAGAGAGCACCAAGAGAAAGTTAGAAAAGTGCCAGAATTTTGGTTGTCTATGCAACTTAAATTCAGTTTGCACCTGTATAGCATTATGACAGTCAATGGCACCACCACCTTCTGTTTTTCCCAAGTCCCTTCCCTCTTCTGGTGCCCAGCACAGCTGATGAGAATGTACTGAATGGCTTTTCAAGATACCATGTATTCTCTTCACCCTCTGATGGTTTCTTGATAGCAAAAACTTGCAGACAGTATTTCAAAATGCTGCTCTGATGGCAGGGGGTTTGGACCTAGATATCTTTAAGGTCCCTTCTATCTAAAACCACTCTATGATTCTAGGATTCTGCAGTGCCAGTAACCATGGTGGCTGCAGGAACTAACTAACAGATTTCACAGAGCCTCTAGGGACTACTGCTACCATTTTATACCCAGGTAAACTGATATCAAAAAGGCTCTTTAAACCCAGCTGGCCAGTTTGAGATAATGAGGATCTCATTTTTCCATAGTCTTGAAGTATATAGTACTGCATTTAAAGCATTGATCCTCATTAATTTCAAGTGTAGTCAAGAGCCTCATATCACTGCTCAGGACACAAAAATGCAAGAGGGAATTTGCACTTGCAAACCATGAAAGGCCTGGACTTCAACACTTCCACAAATCATACAACGGACTCTCGTATCAGACACAAATATAGGAACATGTAATTTGGATTCACATCACCTGGGACATCTAAAAGCTATTTTCAAGCTAAACTAGACATTTCTAAGTTGGACTGGTTGTCTTTCAGAGACCGTAGAGACACAGACTGTGGTAGGCAGCTTGTCATCTTGCCTGCCCTGTGCATTTTAGACATTTTAGATCTCTTCTTCTAGAATGCAATCAGTTTTCTCTGAAGGTTTCTATCTAAGAGCAGTCTGAATTCACCATCTTAGTCTTAGATGAGTAACCATTAAACACTTAAATTGGATGAGATACAACTCACATGTGAACCTCACAGAGTTTTTTTTTAGTTTCTGATTTTTGGGTGACAGACTGCAGTGTTAAAAGTGTTCCCCATCACAGTCTAGAGGTGAATTTCTATGTTGCATAATTGCAATGGAACAAGTAGGGGGAAAAAATAATCATGCCATGCAACGGTAACAGCTGGACAGGAAAACTTCAGGTCTATGATGCAGGATTTTGTTCCTTGAGCTATAAGAGTAACTCTTAGAGGCACTGACTTGGAGCCCCTCTAGAAGGTGATGGGATTTTGCCAGCAGGTTTCTCAGGTTTTCCAGGAGTAGGGTCTCCAGAGGTCCATGTAGGCTTTGGAAAAATATACACTGGGGCTACAACTCCTACACCTATTTTTTCCCAACTCCATTCCTCTCTCCCTTTCCCTCAAATGTACTAATACTTTAGTCATGTATCTTCCCAGTTTTGGCTTTTCTTCTCACTTCTTGTTAACCAGTCCCAGATTTTAAAATCCTCTCTTCAGACTGCCTCTGGGACCAAGATATCCAGGCCCAATGTCCTTCACTAGGAAGAACCTGTCTCAAGCCTTTTGACTGTTTTCCCAGTCTTTCCTCCATTTGTAGGCACTTGG